TAACTCAGAGGCCCTGGGATGTCCACATTTGCAGAGATTCAAGACTCGGTGCACTCCAACCAACTGGCGTGCTGCAACTGTATGGACCCCACTTCGGGAAATGTTTGCACAGAGGGCTCTTGTTGATTTGCTGGCCCGCCTTCACTTAGGGCGGGCATTAGGCTTGTTGGGGCCTTAGCCCAGAACATGTACATCATGGCAAGGCCCCTTCTTGAGGGCTCAATCCTCACACAACCATTCTTCTCAGGGAAAATAATTATTATTTGTAGTACCCATTTGTGTCATTCCAGTGTCGCTCATTCCTGACCTCTCACCCCATTGCCAGCCTTGTGGCTCCCTCAACAACTTGCTCCACTCTTGGGTTTTGTGATACGCAACCTCACACCCAGCGCAGCGTCCCGTACCCATGGGACGCCGATCAGAGTAATTGGGGTGTGAGCAAGGATTTTGGGCGGGGGTTGAACCACCAGGGCGAAACTGTGGTTCTCGCTTCAGTCCTGAGGGTGATTTCGAAAACTTTAGCCAACTGGGTGTGGCATGGGCAAAATTCAAAAATCTAGATATGCACTGAAGGGTGTGGCATGGGCAAAATTCTGCCCATCAGCTTAAGGACAGAAACACAACTCATTCGACACCAGACATAACCGCAAAAGACAATACCAAAAAGAAAAAGGAGACGGCGAATCTATCGCTTATTGGGTTCACATCATCCTTCTTGGTGCAGGCCAAGGAGGCAGTGGAAGTCCTAAGCGTCCGAGTCGGGCTCCCGCGGTTCATCTGATCGGCTAGAAGTCTCGTCATCCGACAAAGGGGGGAGCGGGGGCACCCAGGTCCGGAAGTTCGCCGGAAGAGCTCCCGCGTTATGGGAGAGATCTGGGGACCGGATGGACCCTTCGTAGCCCAACCCCAGCCTCCGCCAGGAACACGAATTTCCCAGCCGACACCAATGACAGTTAAACTAAGGCTCCCACATGTCGTGGGCTGTCGACCAGGGAAGCACCGTCAAGTCCGTGTAAGGCAAAATCAGCGATGGGGAAGAAAACCGATCAACCAACACAAACCCTGCTCCCCCTATATGACACGCTTTGGAGGGGTTATTAAAGTGAACCCGGTCGGTCCGCAACAGCACCCTCTGTACATCCGCATCGTGGTAAAGACCATCCTCGTCTGCGATCGGAAAAGGAGGAAGGTCGCTATGGCAAATGGATGTGAGATTCGAGCACGGACAGTTACCCGCACTCACGTTCAGAGCAGCAAACCTCGACTCCATACAAGTCTCAACTCACCCTACACTGCCCACTCCCACCTATCAAAAGGCCAGCTGTCACGCACGATGCCATCAACCAAAAGGTTCACCTTGTTAGAACGGCGATGGCCAAGTGGGAGAGAGGTCGCGCTGATCGACTAAGTCCTCACGCCCGATGTCCCTGGTCGCTCGGCCCGCCCGGGTGAACTGAGAAATTGACACGCAGTGCTTGCGCGTGAGAGCGAAGAGGAGAAGGTTGGCGACGATCTCACACCCGCACGAGGTGCGGGGATCGACAGTTAGTCGGGGAACAGAGAGCATCAGCACACTCGTGCATGCAAGCAGACGTCCAAGACTCAATGACCCCAAGGGCCGCACCCATATGAGCAAAGACAACAAGGACCATTCCCCAGTCTTTTAACATCCATACATTCATCGACCTTGTGACAGAGAAGCATTTAGTATCCATAGACACTCACAACCAAAGCCATGCAGACAACTGAGTATCCAAACTTAGTCTTTAGTGCACACAACCAATGTACAAAGCAGCGATGGAGAAGAAGCGAGTCCCTCACTATTCAAACTTACAACAATGCTGGCACTCCGCCTGCACAGCCACTAACCCAACCGAACGCTAGCCAACCATATCCACAACGCGCTGCTGCTGACTACGTTTCCGTCTTCACCACCGCTCAGTCCCTCCGACTGCCTTACCCCAAGCCTACCGCTAATTCCACCCCACGCCGCCACTCCGCCCGTTCCTTGGGCACGCCGAGCCTGTTCGGCGCTGCGGACTTCGTGCATAGCTCGCGCAGCCTTGCAGCCGAGATCAAAGAGGATGAGAGGAAGGGGCTGTGCAAATTGCGCGGAAGGCAGCGGGGCACCAGCGTGTGGTGCGGTTAGCGAGGGCGTAGATGAGGAGGAGAGAAGGAAGAAGGTTCCAGAAGGTAAGAAGGCGGGACGATCAAAATTTTCGTTCACTTGGGGTGGTCGTTCAAGCCGTGCGCGTAAGTTCGCTCTTCCGGCTTGATCCGACCATCCCAAATGTGGACCAATCAATCGCACCAAAGAACGAGGGGATCGAACGAAGGGTTTGGAGGGAGACAAAGGGGTGTGCGTAGACGAAGGACAGCAAGAAAGGAAGTTGGTGTGCTCGCGCAAAGCGGGGAGCGAGCGTGTGTGGCAAGCAAGAATCCAAAAACGGCCATGCACGCGTTGAAAATTGGCGTCAACCGAAACTCTTAACCCTTTCTTTGAAAATTCCTGGGAGGTCGCTAATCAGCCGCACGAGACTACCTTGAACAAGGACAGGGGAAACCCCAAAAGATGCATGCACTTGGCCCACAGAATCCGGAAATGGACCCCATTTTTTGTAATCAGTAAAGATCCGTACTTCGGGGCTTACTTCAGGTTCTAGCCCGAAGGGTACGTGAAACCGCGCGGTATGGAGCTTGGCTTATCACAGGTATGCTTCTATTGCCAGATTTAAATTTCCCGT